AATATTCAATTGAAGCCAGAACTATTCCTTTTAGGATTAATGGATAAACAGTTAGAAAAAAGCCATGGAAGATTATTTCACTACATGAATGGAAAGATTCAACACTACCCACAATGGAGGAATGGTTGGTGAAGTTGACAGATTTTGCTGAAATGAATAAATTGACTTATTTGATTAGTGAGAAGACATTATCTACATTTACTGGTGACTGGAAGCCTCTTATGGACTTTTTGCGTAAACATGAAAAAAATGAACTTGTGATTTATGGTTTTGATGATTAGATAGGCTAGATTATAGAAAGAGGAGTAATATGATATAACTTTAGAGAGAGAGGTTAAAATATATTTGTACTCATAAGTGCTGTGAAGAATATAGGAAGCCACTCCTTTATATCTTTTTTCATTCTTTTCTATTTTTCTTCAACTTTTTTTTCTTGCACTTTTTGCTTTTTCTTTGATTTCTTCCTTTTTGCTTTTTTCCTTACTTTACATTAATTTGTATTAGTTTTTATCTTCTTGTTTAAAAGTTTTAATAATTATAGACAAAAAATACATTTTAAAAAAATCTCCCTTTAATCTCACAACAAGCCTGTGAGGAAGAAGAAACTGGAATCTAAGCATCCCTAGTCCAGTGAAGAGTCGACTCCAGTAGTTATCCTCAAACCGCACATACTAGATTTTACTGAATTGCTTTGGAATAAATGATTTCTAGCCCAGATAATATAAAACTTACGGGTACTCATATCCAAACAAAAGCCACATCCTTGTTATTGGTATTGGATTTTATTTGGTACTGAACATGATTTTTCTGCTAGAAATTAAAACATATAATCAAGCTTCTAAGCATCTGGGCTGTGTGGCTGCAAAGGTTATTCACATCAGTTCAAATGAAACAAATGTGACAGACAGCCTGAGACAATGGCTAGGATTCAACCAATATAGTACATTAGCCTAAAACAAGGTTTGATAGTTTGTGTTCAGCAAGTTATAGGAATCACTCCTTTGTCTTAGCATATTAAATGAATAAAGAAGCTATTATTTGGTTTATTTCTGCACTTTTGTATGTTATGGAAACAGCAACTATGTTTTGTTAAACAGCATGTTATGCGAAACTAGCCTATATAGAGCAATAAGGGCAGGTGGCTAATATATTTAGCAAATGTCTACAAATGTTTCCATTATTCCTGTCGGCCTAGGTAAGTCTAGGGCGGTGACTTATCTAGTGAGATGGGTGGTGTCTAAATCTGAAAAATAAATAAATAAATAAACAAACAAACAAACAAACAAACACATAAGCCCATTCAAGAATTATTGGTGTCCTGCACAAAAGCAGATATGGGAAATAAGTAAAGTAGTATGAGCAGAGTTATGAAGTATTTTTTTTTTTGTTTCATGTTTAGCTGTTATAAAGGTA